TGGGTCTCCTCAGGGTGCCGTCAGCCAGACAGTGCCGGCTGGCGACCCCCAGGGGGAGGGCCTTCTCGGTGGGAGCCCCCACCCTCTGGAACGAACTACCCCCAGAGATCCGGGTGATCCCGGATCTCCCCTCCTTCCGCCGCGCCCTAAAGACATGGCTTTTTCAACAAGCGGGTCTGGCCTAGGGATTTTTAGCGGGTTTTTTTAAGGGTATTTTAAGGATAATTTTAATGATCGGCCTTCTTAAATATTTCCTTTTAATTCGGTTTTTAATATAGATATCATTGTATTTGTATTGTGGTTTTTATGAGGCTGTTAGCCGCCCTGAGTCCCATGAGGAGAAGGGCGGGGTACAAATTAAATTAATAAATAAATAATAAATAAATAAATAAATAAATTCCTCATAGCCTAATCTCAGTTTTGATGAGTTCCCCTTCTACTCTTTCATCTAGATCACTTATGAAGATGTTGAAGAGTACTGGGCTTAAGACAGAATTTTGGGTAGCCCACTGCATACTTCCTGCCATATAGATGTAGTTCCATTGAGAATTGCGTGCTGAGTGTCAGTCAGTTGTGAATCCATCTAGTGGTGGTATTGATTATCTGACATTGTTCAGTCTTACCAAGAGGTAGGCTGTATTGAAGTCTAGTAAAACTATGTCCATAGTGTTTCCTTTATGCAAGGATTTAGTCATGTTGTCAAAGAAAAAAGGAATGATCTGTTTTTGACAAACTCATGATGGCTTCTAATTAATTCTGAAAGGAAATAAGAGCTGGTGAGGTCAGCTATACTGGACTTAATTGTTACTAACAGAGATGGAATGATAGAGGGGACAGAAGTTGAGGAACTTTGGCAGAGCGTGACCATGTCATATTGGGATTCAACACAATGCAGACACAATTAATTAAACAAAGCCATTGAAGGCACAGGAGGGTTTACTCTTGCCAATATACACAAGAATCTAGTCAACTAATAGTCAGTGCTGAATTGGCACTAGATAAGGGTCAATGGAATTCATGGAGGGCTGGAACTGGGTCTCTTGTGGCAATGGAATGACTCCAGACTGATGTCACATTTAACTCCACCTTCCAGCTTTGTCTGTTCTTCTCCTATATCTATATGATATAGGGCCAAATGTTTTGTTCTTCATTTCTGGTGGTTATTTATATTTTATGCCCATATTTGTTATTTTTTATAAATAAGTCAAGGTCGTGCAGATGCCTAATATTCTTTCCTAGTCCTATTTTCCCCAACAAGAACCCTGTGAGATCAGTTGGGCTAAGAAAGAAGCCGGAAGTCATCCAGTTGGCTTTCATGCCTAAGAAAGGCTCACAGTCTCCTCGTTTCTAGACCAGCATCTTAACCACCACACCAAACTGGCTCTTTATGACTCCATTTGTTACTCATTTTGCTAATGAATCTCTCCCCCAATTATAACTACCATTAACAAAATCCAGTGATTTTCATGAGTTTTGACTGCAGCCATGGGCATCTGCAGGGAGAGTTAGTAAAAGAGGGTCAAGATGGTGGCCACAAATCCCCGTCTCTTTTATATTGGCAGGTGAAATGTGTGCATCCTTGACTGCCACTAATTCTAATGTTGCAAAAGCCCCATCAAATACTTTAGAGCTTTGGAAGATAAAATCAAAACAAGCAGAGAAAACAAAGAAATAAAGAAACAAATCAGGAAATAAAATGGTTCCTTTCTACATTCTCCTCGGCATTAATCTCCTTTTAATCTTCTTTAATCTCATTTTCAATCAGACGCTGGCAAGAGGCAAGGCAAAACAAACATCAAAGAATTATTATGCTTAACCTTTTGGCAATCAGTTTTTTTTTAGGATGCAGGCTTTGCTACTGTAAAGCTATTGTATTCAAGTGCTGATATGACTGCTTTTTTAAGCAACTGTTCTTCATGAATACTGTGGGTCCTTTTGTCTTGCAGACATTTCAATCCAAACAAGGTAATATCATCAATGCTGGAAGTGAATGGGATTTGCTCTCTATTTATATACAAGTGGCTTTCCTTATTGGTATTGGTGGGAAGCTTTGTAGTCCCAAGGTCTTTGCCTCATACCATTACTGTTTCTGATTCAAAGGATATTAGATACTGGAAATGCCACTCCTTCCTATTTTCTTCAATCTTATCCTGCCTGTCATCAGAACAATGTGTGTAAAAGTACGTCTGGCAAAAGAAATGCAAAGTTTACTCTCTTTACATTGGCAAAATCCACATAATTAGTGAGCTTCATTTAGTTGTATTGTTCCCAAAAGCTTCTGGCCAAATAATCTGAGATGAAGAACTATCAAACAATCTTACCAATGCATTAAAAAAAGGTAAATGTTTCTCCTGCCAGTTGTGTCTGACTCTGGGGGGGGGGGCACTGTTCATCTCTGATTCACAGCTGAAAAGCTTCTGGGATCATGTGACCAGCATGACAATATGCAGATAGAAAACAAATATCTAGAATGTATTTAAGAGTGCAGTTCAGACTCATGCACAGTAGGAATCTGCAATTGGGGAATTTACACCTTTTTGAATCCAGAGAATCTTTACTAGCAATCAGCATTTAGAATTGTCATAGAATTATAGGTCTGGAAGACACCTTGGAGATCTTCTAGTCCAACCCTCTGACCAAGGCAGGAGACCTTATACCAGTGGTGGCAAACCTATGGCACACGTGCCAGAGGCGGCACTCAGAGTCCTCTCTGTTGGCACACGCGCCACCACTGCCAGCAGCAAGTCCATCAGGCCGCCACCACCGCCCAGAGCAGGAGCCCCATCCAGCACAAAGGAGGCAAAGCGGCCGACTAGCAAGCTCAAGTGGAGGTGATAGAGCAGAGGTCACCAACCATTGTCGATTGGTGGACTGGAAGAAAAGGGGGGAAACATTTTACATGTGTGCATGCGCGCACGGGGCTGCGAGCACGGGCTGCAAATGGGGCAGCGCTAGTGCCTGCATGATACTCACTAGCCCTGCCCCGTTCTTGTGTGGTACAGCATTTTGTATCTGCACCCCGCGGTGTGGTCGGCGGCCATTTTTGCATCTTGCAGAATGGTGGCCCATTTTTGTTCCCCCGGTTTTTGTGTGCCAGAGGCGGCACTCAGAGACGCCTCCCTGCCCTCCCCCCGAGGGAACCACAATGCTGATGGGACCCTGGCACTTTGCAAAAAATAAGTGAGTTTTAGGTTGCGGTTTGGGCACTCGGTATCTAAAAGGTTTGCCATGACTGCCTTATACCATTCTGGACAAACAAAGGCCTTGAAAATCTCCAGTGATGGAGCAGCCACAACTTCTGGGGTCAGGCCATCCCACCCATTAATGGTCCTCACTGTCTGTGGAGATTCTCAATCTTCCAGGTCAGGGCTGGCCCAAAGGTTCTGTTCAAAAGGCCACTGGACTTTCATGGTTGTTGTTGTTTTTTTCTGAATATTTAAGATAGAGATATTAAAACTGAAGGTTTCTTTAGGTATTAGGGACAAACCAATCGAAAAACAATTTGGGACATTATCACTGTATATGATGACTGCTGTGAGGATTGTACTTGCTAAGCCCTGTGCTGACTGTGGAAGAATGGATCTTGAAATTGTCTGAACTAGCAGAGATGGCAAAACCAATTGCTTTGTTTAGACAATGGACTAGAAGGTTTATAAGAGACTGGAAGCCGTTGGTGGACTTTCTACCTGTTGAATACAATAATAGATGGATTCTCTCCTCTGGAATATTTGTTTGTTTAATATAGTAGTTTTGTCAAATGAGGATGGGAAAGCTTATAACTATTTGTAGACCCGTTACGTAAGAGAAGGAGAATCTATCATTTTTTTTCCAATGTTTCAGCATCCAGACGGGATGGGCTCTTTTTGTTCCATGTCAAACATGAATGAAGGAGAACATAGATGTCCCGGATAATGTTGCAGGATCCAATCTGGGTCAGTCACCAGGACCAGATTTTGTTTCCTGACCTTTCGGACTCATGCTGGACAGAGAGAGGGGCTCTGAGGATGGGCTCCAGCATGAGACTGGAAGCTTGGAAGATGAAGCTTCTAGTCCTGATGATGGACCCAGATTGAATCCTACAATATTAGATATATTCAACATTTAGGTCTCCCCATCTTTTTTTTTATACACATTAAAAAAAATCTTTATTTTTCCTTTTGCTTCATTCTTAGTGTTGGATGTTCATTCTTCTGTTTCTCTCTTTTTATTTTATTTGTGTTGACAAATGAAAATAAATATTTTTTTAAAAAAGAAAATGTTTTGCTTCTTATCCAAGAAGCTTCTGCAGTTCTTCACTTGGCTGAGAAGTGAAAGATTTTCAAGGAAAAAAACCCAAGAAGGTCCTTCTACCTTTTGAAAAGCACTTTTGGAACTGTGTTACAATATGTGGATTTATTTATAGTTAGAGGCTCCTTCTGAGATAAAATATGATCCAGAAAAATATTTTCTGAATAACTGTGAATATGTTGCTTTAATGCCAGTAGATAATCCACCCGATGGTTTACCTCCGGATTGCATGCATGTTCTTGATGCGGTTTACTCCAGCAAACCAGATTTGAAAGATGAGCGTTTACAAAATGCAGAATGAGAATAGTTAGTTTATTGATAGAAGCAGCTACATCTTGGAAAGTCAGTGTGAAATTTTGGGAGAGGAAGCATTGACTTTGAATACACCAGCTCTAAAGGCAGAACTTGTTGTATTAAATGTACTTTGTAACTGGCAAATGGTAAAATGGCCATTATTTTTCTTGACAGCAAATAAGCCTTTGGTGTTGTACATACCCATGGAGCTTTGTGGCGGGAAAAAGGTTTGATTACAGCAAAAGGTAAACAGATTAAATGTGGAGAAGAAATATTGCAGAATTTAGATGCCATTTGGAAGCTAAGGGTGATTTACTAGTAGGATGCAGGCAGATGGATCTCTTTGGACTAGAGGGAAGTGAAACCTTCTGAAAGAAGAATCTCCAAAATCAAATCAGAGAGAAGACAGTGGTTGGTTTGTAGGCTTCATTCACATCAACACACTGTCTGTTGCTGCAGACCTGAAAGTCAAAGCAAGAGATGATCAATGGAGTAAGACAGCACTTTTCTACACAACCAAACTCTGTCTGTCATTCCTTATAACTAACCCAAACTTCTTTCAGGTTATAAAAATCAAGGGAAATTATTCCTGATCCTTTAAGGTAAGCTTTGGGATTGCTTCAGCACTTCTAAATAGATTCATTGAACTGGTAACCTTTAGGTCACAACCAGATCTGTCCTGATTTTCTCATTTCTCTCTTCCACCTTCCCAATGGAGATGCCTACAAGTTCAGAGAAAGGACTGTCTCTTGACAGTCCGTCCAGAAGATACTGCGAGAGAAAAGCACAAGGCTCTGAGAAGGCCAAGCGTTTTGTTCTTGCAAGAAAGAAACAGCCCTGGACATCCACCTCATTTGTTATGGTTGCTATTTGAAGGAAAAACAAAATAACAACAAGCAAAAGAAGGCTAGATGGATGCTTTTTCCTCTATGCAGATTCACTGTAGTGTGGAAAATCTAAACCAGCTTTCAGCAAGATCCATTGTATTTTTTAGTGATCACCTTGTGGAATCAGACTTTAGAGCACACAGATTAGCGGTAAACTTTTACTAACCTTTCCATCTGCGCATTTTGTTCCATGATCAACCATTCCAAAATCTAGGTCTTCTGAATAATTGTAATGGCATGGAAACTTCTTATTATCACAGAATAACCTGCCACACTTTACATCCCTGAAAAGGAAACAAGAATGGAGTAATGAGAGGCCCATTCCTTTGCTTATTTCCAAGCATTTGGTTTGTTTGTTTCCCATGCCCCCCCCCCCCATGTCTTGGGTGACTTACAGTACAATAAATAGTTAGAAATTGCTAAAAACAATTATAATTAGAATAAAAGTTAAAAATTAAAAACCAAGATGAAGGGCAGTCTGTGGGTGAGAATATCTTCTCTACCCAGTCAGCCCTCCCCAACATAGCAGGCCCATGCTGGGGACCCAGATAGAGCCAGGTTTATAGGCTGTTCCAGGAGGCCAGAATTCTGGGGGCAGACCTCACCCCTGACAAGAAAATATTGCCAAGGGGGCCACAGCAGAAAAGGCTTTTCTCCTGCACCTCTCCACCCAAAAGTGTTTGGTTGGCAGAATCCGAAGCAGGCCCTTTCCACGGAAGCACTGGGGCAGGTTAGTCCCAACAAGGTAAGGCAGTTCCACTGATACCCTGGACCCATGGCATAAAGGGTTTTAAAGGTCATGATCAACTCCTTGAATTTGCCAGAATCACACTGGCAACCTGTGCAGCTTGTGTAACAATGGAGTCACATATTCCACGCCAGGGCCTCCCGGACTCTCAGCGTCATTGCCTTCTGTACCAGTTGTAACTTCCAAGGGCAGCCCTATGCAGTAATCCAGCTGGGAACAGGGCATGAGTGACTCTGCCAACAATCTTGATCTTGGTTAACCTGTGTGTGTGTGTGTGTGTGTGTGTGTGTGTTTAATTAGAGATGGAGAACCAGACCTTTGCTCAGTCTCAGTAGGAACTAGTTGCCCCTAACACATAACTGAAAAATATCACAAGAGCAAGGAATGCATCTGTTATCCACCATGAAAACTCCTAAAGTAGATTTTAGGAGGCTTGGTTTTTCCAGATCTCTGGCTTAAAATTCTCATAATCTCTGATCAGTGGATGACAGGGGATGATGGGAGCTGAAATCTAAAGATTGGGGCAACTGGACTAAACGTTCTGTTTCTCATCCAAGAAGCTTCTTCAACTCTGACTGGATGGCGGGGAGTTTGAGATGCAGACAACACAGACTCATCCCCAACAGCCTGCGCCTGTGTTCAGCAGTGAAGGGACACAGGGCAGAAAACATCCTGCAGAAAACACAGCTCCAACTTCTAAATAATAGTAATGGTAGTAGTAGTAGTAGTAGTAGTAGTAGTAGTAGTAGTAGTAGTAATAATAATAATAATAATAATAATAATAATAATAATAATAATAATAATAATAATAATAATAATAATAATAATAGTAAAGTTGGAAGGGACCTTGGAGGTCATCTAATCCAACCCCCTGCTCAGGCAGGAAACCCTATACCATTTCGGACAAATGGCTGTCCAGTCTCTTCTTAAAAACTTCCAGTGTTGGAGCATTCACCGCTTCTGGAGGCAGGCTGTTCCACTGGTTAATTGTTCTAACTGTCAGAAAGTTTCTCCTTAGTTCTAGGTTGCTTCTGTCCTTGCTTAGTTTCCACCCATTGCTTCTTGTCCTGCCTTCAGGAGCCTTGGAAAATAGCTTGACTCCCTCTTCTTTGTGGCAGCCCCTGAGATATTGGAAGGCTGCTGTCATGTCCCCCCTCGTCCTTCTCTTCGTTAAACTAGACATACCCAATTCCAGCAACCGTTCCTTATATGCTTTAGCCTCCAGTCCCCTAATCATCTTTGTTGCCCTTCTCTGTACTCTTTCTAGAATTTCAACATCTTTTTTACATTGTGGTGACCAAAACTGGATGCAATATTCCAAGTGTGGCCTTACTAAGGCATTGTAAAGTGGTATTAACACTTCACGTGATCTTGATTCTATCCCTCTGTTAATGTAGCCTAGCACTGTGTTGGCCTTTTTGGCAGCTGCAGCACACTGCTGGCTCATATTTAGGTGATTGTCCACTAGGACTCCGAGGTCCCTCTCACAGTTACTACTATTGAGCAAGGTACCCCCTATACTATCCCTGTGCATTTGGTTTTTCTTGCCTAAATGAAAGAATAAGACAGAGTAATTTTACAATTGAGGTTTTGAAAGACAGAGTGGAACACAAACTCCAAGAGCCGAAATCACTTCTACCAAAAGAAGTATTAGAACAGGTCATAGAATTTACAAAGAAAGCACAACTAGCACAACACAACAAGAGCAAAGTGTGACAAAAACCCAAATTTTCCACCCTACAGCTTCGGCAGGAAAAAACACACAAAACAGAAGAACCAACCCACTGAGACACTGAGATGTCTCAGAAAACTGACTGATGGGTGAAAAATCTGTCTGACAGAGAGCTTACCCAAAGAGAAAATAATCTTGTAGCCAAAGGACTGAATTTTGCAGTAACACCAGAACATCTACCAGTTGTATATCTCCTCCCAGTCACAGAGTCAGCCATCAAGAACAATAAACTGGCAGAACCAGAAGCAGAACAATTAAGAATGAAGGTATTTGCAGCCCTCACCAGTGCCAAAACACCCCCTTCCAACCTCACAATTCAAGAATGGAGAACAGTGACATCCCTAGGAAGAGACCCAAACATCACAATCTTGCCAAGAAGATGCACAGTCATCCTGAACACAGATGACTACAAGGCCAAGGTGAACAGTCTTCTGAAGGACATTGACACCTACAAGACTCTGAAGAGACAGTTAGTTACAAGAAAAAGGTCATTGATTTCTTGCAACAATTACTAATGGATAATGCCATCGACAAGCCACAATACTACCGTCTTTATCCTGGGGAAGCCCTGACATGCATATATGGACTTCCCAAAATCCACAAAGAAGGAACACCACTCAGAACAATTATCACCTACAACATTGCAAAATATCTAACTACCATAATGGCTCCTCTTGTTGGTAACACTACTCATCACATCAATAATAATAAATTGCCAGTAACATATGTAAAATAAAACTGGACGCTGGACCTCTGCCTGATCAGTATCTATTTTCAATATAGTGAAGGTTTCTATAGACAAAAACACGGCTTTGCCATGGACTCACCTGTGTCCCCCATTGTGGCCAATCCCAAGGATAAAACACATGGAAGAGGTAGAAACCAAAGCTCCAAACTTTTTCACAGGAATTCCACCCACTCACTGGTATAGGTATGTGGACGATACTTGGGACATGATCAAAACACAGGAATTGGAAGCATTCACCAACATATCAACTCGGTGGACAGATACATCAAATTCACACGTGAAGATGTTAAGGAAAATAGTCTAGCCTTCTTGGACTGTGCTGCATACATTAAGGAAGAGAAAAGCCTTAACATTGAAATTTACAGAAAACCCACTCACACAGATCAGTATGTACATTTTGATTCACACCACCCACTGGAGCACAAAATGGGAGTTATCAGAACCCTACACCACAGAGCTGAAGCCTGCCCAGCTGCAAAGAAGGAAAAGAAAAAGAAGCCCTCAGAACATGTGACTCTCCCAAGTGGGCCTTCATCAAATCTCAAAGAAGACCTACAGGAGCTCCTCTGTAACAAACAAAGAAAACAATAAACAAAGCAATGTAGTCATTCCATATGTTGCAGGAATATCGGAAAAGCTCAGAAGGATCTTCAGCCAACACAACATACGTGCAAACTTCAAACTTAAGAATACACTAAGACAGAAGCTTGTCCATCCCAAGGATAAAACACCCAGACACAAAATGAGCAACGTGGTGTATGCAGTACAGTGCAGTGAGCTATGTGCAGATCTGTACATTGGGGAAACGAAACAACAACTTCATACACATATGGCACAACATAGGAGAACAAATCAGGACAAGAGTCAGCAGTCCATCTGCATTTAAAAAACAAAGGCCACTCTTTCAAAGACAGCAAAGTCCACATTTTGGACAGAGAGGATTGCTGGTTTGAAAGAGGGGTCAAAGAGGCCATCTATGTCAAAAATGAACAGCCCTTTCTCAACAGAGGGGGAGGGATCTGACATCATCTACCTCAGGTCTACAACACAGTCCTTTCAACAGTTCCAAGAAGGCTCCACACCCATTTGGGCTACTCAGGTGACCCCGAAGACACAGATAAGCCTCCAGGTAGCTTTAATGACTCACTAAAAGAATGCAAATGACTAGCTGTTAGCAGGAGTATAAATCTTTCCATTCCTCACCATCCACTCTGAGCTGAATAAGCTTCTTGGATGAGAAGTGAAACATCTTCAAAGAAAAACAAGAAAGTCCAGTTGCTTCGTGAAAAAGCATCTTTGGGATAAGCAAATCTGACTTCCCCCATTGACTCTGATTTATTAGAATCTGGCTCGGAAGGACAGAAATGGTGATCATGTGACCTTGGGACACTGCAGCCCTCATAAATAAATGTTGGTCGCCAAGCACCCAAATTTTGCTCACATGGCTCACATGCTGCAACAATTGTAAGTGCAAGGACTAGTTGTGTGTCACTTCTTTGAAGTCATTAAATGAATAGTTGTAGGTCAAGGAGTATCTCTCCTTTCTGACACAATCTTTTAAAAGGCACTTCTATCCTCAT